CTGCTGAACAGTCTGAAATTTCTTGGGTTTGTTTCCAGTCTGCGTGGAAAAGACAAACAGCAGCTGTGTAGTGGAACGTTTGAGCTATAGTGAACGTTGCAGTAGCATCCTCCTGCGTTCTGGCTTTGTGCTGGCCCCAGGATTTCAAAGCAGAATCTGGCTTGGGAGCTTATGGCAGAGCACAAAGGCAGGGTGGGCACTGTGGGCACGAGTCTTTTGAGCGCTGGTTAAGGCGTGTGTCCAGAGGTCGGTGTGAGATGAGATGACCAGCTGTGGGTGGAATTAAATTGCATTTGAGAGGCAGAGCTGGACAGGGAAATTGCTATACCTGCCACTTTTAAATTTGGTGTTGATCTGAAAAATGTGGGTCCTGATATGCTTTTAACTCTTCTTTTTGCGGGAGAGGTGTAGGAAGGAATAGTAGTATGGTTGCAATTTAGCCATTACTGAAGTGGTTAATTGCTGTAAATACAAGGAGGACTTCTGGTTCCTTGTTTGTTTTGGTTTGGCTTTTTTAATTATTTTTTTCCTCCTACCTCAGTGTCACTACAAAAATCTGTTAAAGTCACGCTTCTGGTCTGGTCGGTGGTGCTGTGCAGATGAATTCCCCTGTAAGCTGTGTTACTCCTCACACTGCGCCACCGCAGCGATGGCGCTTCCTGCCCTTAACACCTCTCATTTCTATGGAAACTTCAGCATCTTTGAAATCGCAGGAAGGGGTAAGAGTTGGCCAGAGGGCTCAAAACTTGGTGAGGTGCTGACTTGTCAAATAGCTGTTGGGCTGCTGAAGAGCAGGAGACTCTGCGAGCTGGGAAACTGCAGGATTGCTCCTTGGTTGCAAGAGCTGCCCCAGGCAGAGGGAATCCTGTCAGCAGTGGCAGCCTCCTCTGGAGGTGGCTTTGTTCCTGCCTTCTATTCTTGTGTAGCACCAGTTGCTGTGGCTGGGAGATACCTGTGTATCAACCTCCACAGTGCAGTTTCTGTACCTTGGGCTTTCCATCGGGGCTGTGAAGAAATGGCCAGGAAAATTGGCTTTGGAGTCGTCATTTGGCTTCCTGATAGGAACCATTAAAAAAAAAAAAAAAAGGTTAGTTGCACTAAAATTTTCTTGAAAGACAAAGCATATGCAGGATGCGATGAGTGATTTGCTGTGGCTGGTGGCTCTGCCTTCGCAGGAGCGTGGAGCAATCTGCTTGTTCCCACAGAGACTCATAATTAGCACTTGTGCTGCAGCGAGCTGAGCCACTGTAGTTGTTACAAGTGTGCTTTGTACTCTGGGCTTGCTTGTCTGCCGGAGAGCCCGCTGAAGGAGAAGAGAAAGATGCTTTTCCTGCCTCTTTTATAATTTCTCCGCTTAAATTACCATCGGTAAGCATATGGCAACTTAAGCAGGCTGCAACGGGATAAATCGGTGTGGATTTGCAGGGTGCTGGCTTGTCTGATAACTGTGCCTGTATGTGTTCTATCCATAGAAAGTATGGAGTAGCTTATGGCTGTTTACACTGACAGTTCATTACTGCTTAGGTGGAATGGGGAGAGCATAGCCACAGATGCTTACGACAGAGCAGCTCATGCTGTAACTCATAACGCCGTCTGCACCACGGCGACTTGCCTGTGCTCCCGTTAATCCAGAATAACTTCACCTTGAGGCTGGTTGTGGTACGGGAAGCAGGTGATGTAGTTGGTGAGAAAGATCCTCGTGTTGTGCTTACACAGGAGGCTGCTCTGGAAACCAAAGGAAAGGCCTTTCTGGTGATTTCGGTTTGAAAGCTTTTGGGTTTTTTCCCTCGGAAGATTGAAGGTACTGGGTAGACTGGTAATTTGCATCTAGAGTTTGTAATACCGCCCTGAGGCGTTGGTAGTAGCGGTTCCCCAGCAGTTCCTGTTGAGCATTTAGTGGCAGTCTGTGCCATGTCTCCTGCATGGACCTGTGATATTGTTTGTGCTGTTTTCCAGTGAATCAGACTGAAAAAGCTGACAAGTAACTTAGCGATGCCATGAAACGTTCAGCCACGTGTATTCCCCTTGGGCAGTTCAGCTGAACTGACGGTGGTGTGGCACCTTCTGTGTGCCAGCGCCGAACAGGGCAGGCATTTCAGCTGCAGAAACCTCCCATGAATCCTGTTCTGAAAACCTCTTGGATTTAACACAGCATCTCCAGGGTAGATGCAGGGTCCAAACACGGATCCTCAGCCTTTGTGCGCTCCGATAGTAAGAGTTTAATTGAATCTGATTGCCTCGTGCTACTGTGATTATGCTCCCCACCGCATAAATCCTGTTTTCCTGAGCTGCCACTTCTACAGAGAGTACGAAGCGCGGTTAGAGAGGTACAGCGAACGCATATGGACGTGCAAAAGCACAGGAAGCAGCCAGCTGACGCACAAAGAGGCTTGGGAGGAGGAGCAGGAAGTTGCTGAGCTGTAAGTACCAGTGAAGAAGTGGGTATGTGTCCATCTTGAGGCATTGGGGCAGAAGGGTGGACTTGGGAATGATATGTGATGGCTAGTTTATGAGGTGAGGTAAGTAGCTTTTTACTGGCTGTAAGTAGATCGGATGATTCTGGAGTTGAAAGCAAATTAAGTCCAAATTTGATGTCATCCCTAATGCAGTTGAGTAGCGCACTTATTCAGTGCTGTATCTTGGTATTACTTGAACCAAAATAGTTCAGCATATGGTACTTGGCATATTTTAAAGCCCCTTGAGTAATGGGAATTTTTCAGAGGGGGGGGAAATAAATCTTGAAGGAGATAAAGTAAAAATACAGTAAAAAGAGGCTGTTGAAATGTTTCACATCAGCCAGATCCACAGCTGTAATTTTTTTTCCAGATCTGCATTGGAATCAGTTGTTGTACTAAATAAAAAAATTATTCTGGAGTGAGACTTTGGGGATCTACTCTACTTGAAACAGCAAAGGACACAGGGAAACCAGCAAGAGTCACTACTCTGTTCAGACCACCAGTGTTCCTCCGGGCTGCCGTGTCCCTGACTTTCCCCTCTAGCCCACTTGGTTGAGGTCCAGTGTGACCCTTGCCATAGAAATGAATTTTCCTGAAAGGTGCAAATCCTTGGTTCAACCAACGTATCTATAACTTACTTTGTGATTACAAAATTGCAGGAATTATGCCAAACTAATGGCGTGTTTCTCTGTTCTGTGAACTGATGACTTGGACTTATGTGACTTTTTTTTTTCTGGATTTAAACTGGAGAGACTGTCAGCAGCACTAGCTAAGAGGTGAAGTCTGCTGCTGCCTCTCTTTTCATGAAGAATCCACATTTCTGATTCGTTGGCAAAAGAGTTAATAGCCTTAGTCTGAGGAGAAACTCCCCATCGTCTGAGGTTAATCACATCCTTAAAGGCAACAAATAAGAAACATATTTGCTAGTAGTTGTAGCTTCTATGAGGGCTGAAGTTCTACTGTCTTCGTCTTTCCTCCCTAGTGTTCCTATCTGAGAGGAGGGTGCAGAGCCAGCTCCAATAAACTTAGAGTCTGGAGTCAAAAAACACTGGTCTAGTGCCACTTACTTTTGATTAACAATGTTTGATTGGTTGGCCACTTCTGAAAGCATGAAGAAATGTAAATGAAACGGAAAATTTCTCAATAACAAATTTAGCTACAGCCTCTTTAAATGGAGGGGAAAAAAAAGACGCTGTGAAATGAGATTTTGGTCTTGTCTCTTTGAAATGGGATTAAAAGCTTCCCAGGCAGTTTGGCTGCTTTAATACCTGACACTAGTCTGAATTAAAAAAAGTTCATTTAGGCAGTTTGCTAGAGGGGGACGTTTGTTCATGGCAGTTGTGGAACGGCGAATGTAGCTGAGGATTGTCAGCAATGGATCCCTGATTCTGGGAAGCTAAAAGGGTTTTGGAAAAATGGAGTGTTTTGTTCCTCCTTGTAGTAACTTGAAACGGACTTTACTTTTTAGCCAAAAAGCTTTATGTAATATGTTTCGTAGTACTCCTATCAGCTAGCTGACCAGGTCTTTTAGAAAAGAAGTCAGTCGAATAAGTTTGTAACCCTCCTTTCTCTTCTCTGAATGAAAAAGTTTGAAGATCATGACACGGTGAAACACACAAAATATTTTTCTCTGGAAAGATAATTTGATTGTGTAAGCCTGCCTCTATCTTCCTTACTGTGTTAGCAGTCTCTTTGGGAAGAAAGAAATGCTCCATGTCCATCAGCATCATGTTATTGTTGGCAGCAAAAATTTTAAAGTAATAAGCCCCAGAATAATGACATGGTCTTGGTATATATTTAACATCTAATAGAGAGGCAGTAGTAACCATCCAGAAAGGGTTCAGCATCAGTGCTGCTCTTCCGGAATGCTTTAGGGTGTTCCTTTTGGGAGGGACAAGTACAATTTGTATTGTCATGCCAATTAACACTTGGGGAGGGTGGAGGGGGTGCTGGGGGGAGGGCAGTAAAAAGCCCTTGGATGCCTGCATGCTAATGTGGCATCTGCCTCAAACATTGTCCTGGCTGTTAACGTTCCCGGAATTGCGACATGGGAGGCTACTTTGCATTTTGGCTTTTATTCCCTGAATAATGAGAACTTCTTATGTGCTTGCTCAGCTTGAAGGAGGAGTTCCCCATCTGGTATGAGAAACTGGTACTGGAAATAGTCCACCACAACACGGTATCTTTGGAAAAGTTGGTGGATGCAGCTTGGCTGGAGATCATGACCAAATTTGCAGTGGGAGAAGAGTGTGACTTCGAGGTAAGGATCTGTTTTCCGTTCTATCCCATGCTTTTGCACAGAGCTACTTTTGGGTATCTAAAGGCAGGAGTTGGGAAGAATATGTTAGCCACTTACATTATCAGAATGGTGAGAATTTCCTTTCTGTAGAATCCCAGTGACAGCAACTGCTTTTGAAGGCCAAACGGTTCCATAAGCAGAAGCACGTGGATGACCCATACTGATAGCCAGAGAAAAATGACTGATCTGTGTGCATGCGTGGGGAAATAGAGATATATTTGTTATACTGCTTAAACACGTGATGGTCCGTGTGTGTATTTGAATATGTATTAAAAATACATATTTTAATTAAGGTAAAAATTATAATATGCTGTAATCTTTTCACCTGACGTGTTCCCAGAACTTTTAAACTGATGTAGCTTGAAGTCAACTGCTTACAGATATCTTAACCATGCAGCAATGATGAGAGAACTCCCTCCAAAACTGAGAATGATGGGGAGCACTCAAACTTGTTAAAAATACGGGGAAGTTATAAAGTGTTCTCTGTCAGCAATCTGTTTAGGACATACTCTCAACTGGGGCTGCTGAGGGAGCACACTTGCACCTTACACACACACTCCTTCCTCAGGCTGAGGAAGCAGCGTTACTAAACACTAGAGAAGCTCGTGAATCGGCAGTTCTGTCTGTCTGAGCAATTTGTCCAGAACTTCCAGGTAGGAGCAGTAAAAAGAAATCCTGTAGTTGTTTCACGAGAGGGATCATGAGCTTCTCTCAAGGAGGATGTCAATCGAGTGTTTTGCCAAATTATGGTCTGTAGGTTGTCTTAGCTGCTTTTTTTTTTTCCTTCCTCACAGTGTTAAAGCTCACTGTTTCATGTGTCTTGCTCAGTTTTCATCAATATTTCTGTGCAGGTTGGTAAGGAGAAAATGTTGCCTGTGAAAGTTGTGAAAATACATCCCTTGGAGAAGGTTGATGAAGAGGCCTCGGAAAAGAAATCTGACGGAGCCTGTGATTCCCCATCCAGTGACAAGGAGAACTCCAGCCAAGCAGCCCAGGACAACCAGAAGGAAGCTATCCTGAAGGAGGATGACAACAGGAGGGAGAGTATGAGTAAGTAATAAGACAGCATGCCTGTAGGTGGCACCTGGGAGTGTGCATTTGGATTTACGTACGTCTTGGGCCTCGGCTGTGAAAGTTGTATGGGATGTTTAAACAGTGTTAGGGAATGAAAATCCTGAAATGGTCTTTGTTAGTGGGGCAGCTTTGGTGGCATCAGTGCTGCTGGCTTTCAGCTGTTCTCGCCTGTTGTAAAGCAGAAAATGTGCCGTCCTTCTAAGATGTGATACCAAAAGCTACGCATGAAGCACATCAGCTTTGAACATATTACAAGCGTATTTAAAAAAAAAAAAAGAGGTGGGGGGAGCAGCAAAGGTTCATGCAGAGTCATAAAGTTCTGCTGTTACGTTCATCGTCCAAACAAACATCTCTAGTTCTAAAGCCTGTTGTTCTGCAGTCAAAGACAAGCTCTAACTCTCTTTCTGTCCCCAGTTAACATAAAAAGTTGGCTTTTAATTTTGCTTTATCCGCTTCCCAATTTTCAAATGCCGAGACAATATTCTTAACAGAAAAATGCATATTAATTTTTTTCTAAGGGTTCAAAATAGAGCATGCTTTGAAACATAGTTCCCCTCTTTCATATCTGCTCCTCCTTGCTGCAGAACTAAACAGTGGATGTCCAAGGCTTTTCTTGACTCTGAGAAGGTAGTGCTGAAAGATAAAAAAGTAAATAAATATTAGTTTCATATTTTGTGTAACTTCTTAAAAACGGAGTTATAAGAGTCTTTAAAAGAGATTTCAAAAATGTTTTAAAATAAACGAAAACCCAACCCCACAGCATAGCTGTAATCTGCATAGCTTAATTTTAAAGGCACGTAAATGTAATAAACTGTTTACACGTGTAAATAGCCACTCCAGCATCCGGGGAAGGTGTATAATAACCTCCTCTGATATGGAGAAGAGGAAACTCAGAAAACAGCCCAGCAAGCTAATAGCAAAGTCAGGAGTGGAAAACAAGTTCTACCGAGCTCTAGTCCCATGCTTAGCGATTGTCAGCTGTTTCTGATTGGTACTGGAAAAAATTACGAGCTGTTTTGATTTCATTGCAGTGCTCTGTATAACCAGGAAGGAAAAAAAAAGCGTTGCAGAAACGATCTGGCCCTATGCTCATCCTTTGAAACAGCAGTAGTGCTTCGGGAGGGACTAATGCATGCTGCTTTTTTTTTAAATGAGTGGTAGTTCTCTCAAACTACCTCATAAAAAGCATGGGAGGTACCTTTTACTTTGAAAATGCTCATTGAACAAATTTACAGCAGTTTTTGGGCTCGGGTGTTTAGTAAATCTGCCATAATATTTTGTTTGGGGTGCGCTGTTCTGACCAGCTGTGTCCAGCTGTGCTCCTACGGACATTGCCAGGCTGGAGGAATACTGCAGGAATGGAGATTCCTGCGCCTTTTGCAGTCTCTGACTCAGCTGATGATCTGGCCTGTGTTTAGTCGCCACTATAAACTAGGACTGTCCTACCCTTCCTGCAAAAGAGGAACCTCAACTTCCAATCAAAGGTGCTAGCAGAGTTGTAACGTCAGCGGTGAAAGCAGTAAGCCCTCGTTCTTCTAACTCTTCTCCTTGTACACAGGCATTTATTGAAAGGATATCTTACTGCTGATACCTTTATATTCTGGGGTATAATAGAACACAGGTTCATAATAAGCTCATCACTGAATCTATATTCCAGAGTCCTTTAAAATAACTGCCTAGCATTTGTAACGTTTACACAGCGTGTTACAGAGGTGGTAAAGACTTGCTTTCATGTAGTGAGTGCAGGCCCTGAACTGCACCTGCAGGAGGCTGTGTGCAGTGTCTGGAGGTACCTGGCCAGGCTGAAGTTGACTTTTTCTGTCTAATAATTTGATTACTTGGCCATGGGCTTGTTCAGCCTGGAGAAGAGAAGGCTCCGGGGAGACCTTAGAGCGGCCTGCCAGTGCTGAAGGGGGCCTACAGGAAGGCTGGGAGGGACTTTTTACAAGGGCCTGCAGTGACAGGACGAGGGGTGATGGTTGGAAGCTGGGAGAGGGCAGGTTTACACTAGATACGAGGAAGTTCTTCACCCTGAGGGTGGTGAGGCGCTGGACCAGGTTGCCTAAGGAAGCTACGGATGCTCCATCGCTGGCAGCGTTCAAGAGCAGGTTGGATGGAGCCTTGAGCAACCTGGTCTGGTGGGAGGTGTCCCTGCCATGGCAGAAGGGCTGGAACTGGATGATCTTTGAGGTCCCTTCCAACTCAAACCATCCTGTGATTCTGTGATTACCATGGCTTGAGGTCACGACGCAAGAGTGAGCGTTTAGAAGCACTAAGAGGCTCTGCATAACAGTGTGTGACGCAAGAGCTGTATCTTTCTGTGCACACACGAGGGGGCAGAGTTAACCTTAGCATTCCTACTAATACTTGTGTCAAACTTGTGGATTTTATTGGAGGAAAAAAGCAGCAGAGAGAGAGAGAGCTTCAGTCTCTCTAGTTAGGAGTCTACTGTGCTTCAGAAGCTAAAAATAAGACTTTATACCAGCTTTATTGCATCATATGTGCAGTCTGAGGTGGCTTTGTATTTTTACTTGCTTAGAGAGTGAACTCTGGAAAATCTGCAGAAGTGAGAGGAAAGACTAGTTTTCCTGAAAAAGGATGGTGAACTACTGCTTGCCGCTTCAGCTGTGCCTGAAACTAATACTGCTTTGGAAAAGCCAAAATAAGTGGCAAATAGGAGGAGACAACAGCATATGGATGCTTTATGAGGTTTCAGGAGTGTAGAGCATGTAAGTTGTATTACAGTACAATGCAACAACAACTGGAGTGTGCTTTTTGTAAAATAACCTCAGGAAGGAATGCCTGGTGATTTCCTTCTCCCCACCCCCGAGCCTGCGGGTGCTGTTGGATGGGATTCTTCCCATCCCTATTTCTAGACTCTAGAAAGTAAATCGCAGAGGGAGAGGTTGCTTACAGGCCTGTTGCAGAGGCAGCACTGTAACAGAGTCCTTCAAAGTCAGAGCCAGGACTAAACACCACATTGTTGTTTCTTAAATATAAACTTGCTGTGCGTGGTACGCACATCCAGCAAAGATAACACTCAGCTGCTTAAAAGGCACTGAGGCAGATCTCTGACAGCAGATCTCTTACAGAGCTTGAAGTGTCTTGTATGTGAGTTCCATCGTGCTGTTGAGCAGAAAAATACAGTTCAGTATTTGTGAACTTATCAAGATGTTTTTGTTTGGTTTTTTTAATACAAATGTGGACCCAAAGCAGGTGAAAGTTATGTCTCAGCCTGACTGGCGGTGAGAGGACTAGCCTTCTTTCGCTCATACTGTCACCGTTAGGAAATTCAGGGGGGTTTATTTTAAAGAAAAACTTCTATAATAGTGATGCTTGAAGCAGAGGATTCTACATTGTGTTATCTCAAGTGTGGCACTAACGTGGGAAGTAGCTGCACATTTACGTGTATGGTGCAGTGAGCCTGCAGCACCTGTCATCTGTTCCCAAACCAAGGTGGCTGATTTTGGAAGGCAGGGAGGGGCAGAACTTGGTTTTATACCATGTAAGCTATAATGCTGCTGAAGCTTAAATTCTATAGGGTTTATAATGTGACAATTATATCTATATATCTTTAAAAGTCTGACTTAGGTCTAGCATCTACTTGTATTCTGTGTATACTTAATAGCTAATTATTCTCATCTACCGTGCTTGCTTTAGTGTTTTCTTTGAGTCCTAACCACAAACATAAAAACATTTGGGGATCTTCCATAAGCTTTCTTCGGTAAGCTTGGATTTTTTTTGTCTTAAACGATTAACATTTGCAACCTGAATATAGATTTAATAGACACAACACCAGCTGGCCAGATGGTGTGATGCCTTTGTACTCTTCCGGTTACATCTCTCTTGAGAATAAAAATATTGCTTCTGTAAGTGTGCTGAAGATCTCCAGCTAAACTAGCCCATACACATAGGGCTCAAAAATGTAAAACATGTAATGGCCACCAAAGTTAAATGATTTTAAAAGCTGTTTTAGAGTCAGTAATTCCTCCAGTAGAATTATTTCAAATGTGGCATGGCAGGGACAGCTAGGGCGCTTGGTAGGAGCTCCCTGAGCAGGTTACTGGTTAGGTTGTGAAACCTGTCTCCCCTTCATGAATTTTATAGACATTTTCTCCCTTTGCACAAGTAGCTGCAGCTTACCATCTGTAGAGAGAGCTCAGGGTAAATACTGCAAGCGGTCTTTTATTCTCCTTGAAGATAGGTGTTACCTCCTACTTCAGAGCTGTTTAGGGACTCTATTCCCAGCCTGTATCTTCAGGATATTTCTAAAACCTGATCTGGGATTTTTTCCTGCTGTTCTAGTTTAACCAAACACTGTATAGATAGCAAGGTGTGGGATGCCCTGCCCAGTGATGGTCTGGATTCTTTAACTTTTTTTGTTTTGGACTCTAATACTACGGTAGTTAACCTCTTACCTTGCTTTATCAGATGATCGAGCACGTAGGTCTCCTCGGAAGCTTCCCACTTCTTTGAAGAAGGAAGAAAGGAAGTGGGTTCCACCTAAATTCCTGCCCCACAAGTATGATGTCAAGCTAAAAAATGAAGATAAGGTGAGTTGTCTGCTTGAATCTTTTCTATTATAACATGAATATGCAAGTTGAGTTAACTAATCACGATAGTGATTATTTAAATAATCACTTAACATGTGTCTATACAGCACAATGTCGTACTTTCTGCTGGAGTGGTGGTGTTGGAAGCAGGATGGCTGTGCTTGTCCGTGAGGCTGATTAGCCTGGCTGTCTCTGTATAGAATTGGGTTTTGTACGTGGAGACACCTGAAAATTCCCTAGTACCACGCTGAGTCAGTGCTACACAGTGGCTAGTCACAGTGCTACACAGTGGCTAGTCACAGTGGCTAATCTCTGGTCAGGCAGTTAATGAAACCTGGTCAGAGGTAGATGAGTTAAATCAAGAGCGGCAGTTGCTGCTCTTGTTCTAACTGAGCTTCTCTGGGAGTCGTAGGTGGCTGCGCTTCGGGAGGCTCCGTGTAGCTGCAGCTCTGCTGTGAGCTTTTTTGTCATCTGCTCGCTAATTTGACGGGAGAGGCAGTGCTGACCTCAATTTAATGAGTATCACTTGCAGAGTTACTCCTCTGGTCTGAGGAAAAAACCCAAACAAAATAAACAGTAATATGGGAAAGCTTTTAAGTTAGTAGCAAGCACAAGCCAGAGGAAGGTCAGAGATAAAGCAGTGGGCTTTGGCAAGAAATCTGCAACATAAACTAACGGGTTTTATTTTTTTGGCTGACTGAATCTCTTACCAATCTCTGTTGTGCATCTCAGATCTGCAAGTTCTGTTTGGTTTGTTTTGAGTGAGTCCGTGCAAGAGAGCTTTGAAAGAGCAACGAGTTGGTGGATGTGAAGCAATACGATGGTCCTTGCTCCTTTTAGCCCCATGATATGTATTTATAATGTGGTTAGAAGTTAAATGTTAACAGTCTGTCTGTTTGTTATCTCCCAAGATCATCAGCAACGTACCAGCAGATAGCTTAGTCCGTACAGAGCGTCCTCCCAACAAGGAGATCCTGAGGTACTTCATCCGTCACAATGCCCTACGGGCCGGCACGTGTGAGAACGCCCCGTGGGTGGTGGAGGATGAGTTAGTGAAGAAATATTCTCTCCCCAGTAAATTTAGTGACTTCTTGCTTGACCCACATAAGGTAAGAATTCCTAAAAGTACCTCCTTTGCTTTCTCACGTGTTCCTCGCCCTTAAGCAGTCTTGGCAGAGGCGTCAATGTGCCGGTTGGGTTTTGGTGCTGCCAAGCTCACATCCGTTTAGAGAGATGCAGAGCAGGAAAGCCCACTCTTTTGAAGACTGACCCTTTGTGAGGTGGCACAGCTTGAATGTCTGAGACAGTTGTCTGCTTTGAAAACTTGAGGTGTAACTGCCTCTTCTTGATTTAGTTTTTTTAAATTTTTTTTTTCCCCCCTAGTAGTTTGCATTACTTGTGTACAAGACATGAATTCCCAGTGTAAGACCAGTGGAAGAGCTATGGTCCTTGCCTGGTAATGTCAGTTACTGGGCCCTTTTCATGGTTACAGTGCAAGAGCTGGATGTGTTTGCTTGGGTCTTGTAAGGTACTGGATTGAGTGATGGTAGATACCACAAATTTTTCACTGGATATTCTTTAAGTACCAGGGATTTTATTTTTTCCTAGCCATTTGTAATGACCAACCAAATATACTGTTAACCAAGTAAATACCGTATCGTGAAATCTGCTGTTTTAAAATCCATCTTTGGGTGTGGAAAGCACTCTTTTGTTCATTTAGTAAACTCAGTTTTTCGTGGACTCAGTCTTTGTCAAGCGTTGTCCTAAAACTAGAAGAGAACTATATCCTTTTTCCCTCGTCAGGAGGAGAACACCCTTTTCTAGCAAGCTTCTGTGGGCTCTTCTGGACGCTTGTAAATTTGCTTAAAGGGAAAAACGTTCTTCGTATTTGAGCTGTGTTTACCCTTGCTGTAGTATTTGGGGTCACTGCCTAAATAGAAATTAAAGTATTTGCTGGTGGTGTACGAATTATTGTATCCAGTGCACTGGTGGATGGAGGCATACCCTTAGTGTAAGAAAAAATACACACAACTGTAACATCTTTGGTTTGACTTGCAGTAGTCCTTAGCTTTATGTTTAGGGGTGGTGCTTCCCATAGCGTGTTTCCCACTTGGCATGGAGATTGAATTTGTGTTGCGTTTTTCAATTTCGAGAAGCGTCTGGAGAATTTATTAACCCAGAATTAGTGTTCTGACAAAATAACTTTGTATAGGTGACAGTTGGAGATACAATATCAGTTGTAGATCTAATATTTGTGAATTTGTAATTATCATGATTCATATCAATGTCGGATGCTTTCGGCGTAGGTAATTCTCTTCAGCGAAGACTTCAGCACAGAATTTTTGCAGGATGAAATTATGCAGACACTGGCTTTGGTGACTGTGCAATCTTCAGTAAAAATTTCTCTAGTGGGCTAATGAGAGCTCTTAAACTAAAGCTTTCAAGAGTGAACATCCACGAGCCAGGAAATCTGAATATTCCTATGGCGGTCTTAACTGATCCCGTTTGTGTGTGTTCTTAAAGAAATGTTTCTTAGCCGCTTGCACCTTCTGCTGTGCTTACCACTATGGAACTTTTTTTATTGCTAAGGAATCTCAAATTTTCAGCCCCTGTTTTCTGGTAATTTTATCCGTAACCTAAGGGTTATATCCTTGTATTTTATTTTTCACTTCTTGTAGTATATTAGTATTCTGGGCACATCCTGAAACTGAATTTGAGGTGCTGAGATAGTCCTGAAATCATTCTGTCTTTGGTTCTGGGCTAAACTGTTCTGTGCTAAAAGTGTGCTGCCAGGTAGGTTATTTCAGCAGCTTAAACCCAGTTATATATTCAATCACATTACTTCAAAATGAATCCTGTCTCACCTTCATTCCAGATGCTTTCAGGCACTTCAGAAACCAGTCCCTGAGCTACTCCTGTCACTCAGCACTTCAGTGCTCCTTCAGTTTTCCTCTGGGTGTGAGCTGGTTGGGGTCCAGGACTGAACCCTCTGTGTCTCACTGAGAAATCTCTGAACAGAGGAATAGTTTTTGCAACCAACATCGACATTTTCCAGGCAAAACCCCCTCCCCACAACCTTTTAAGCAGAAACAAAGTGGTTTTGTGTAATGTAGTAGGAAACATTTAAAATTCTTCATAGCGTTTTGTTTTATAAAGTTAAATGTGAACTTTCTGGAATGAGCTAATGACCCAATGACCTCATAACCAACGTAGTATTGAAAGCTACTGCAAGAGCCTGTTGTTACCCTTGGTGTCTTCAGTACTCCTTGTTTGTTGGAAAGATACATTGAAAATAAACACAGGCAAAAATAGTTGATGGAAGATAACCTTTATTTTCCTTTCAATACTAACATAGAATCATTCTTTCTTTCGTTTTAGTATATGACTCTCAACCCCTCAACCAAGAGGAAGAGCTCTCGATCACCTGACAGAAAGCCTTCTAAGAAAGCCAAAGCTGACGGATCGTCCCTGGGCCAGCCGCTGAGCCCCACTCTGTGGTGCCACGTGCATTTAGAGAAATCTATTATTGGCTCTCCACTGAAGGTAAAAAACTCTAAGAATTCAAAATGTCCTAAAGAGGAGCTGGAAGAGGTGATGAAAATCGTGTCACCTGCTAAACTTGGTTCTAACTTTCACATTCCAAAGAGGAGCCGACTGGGGAAGGGCAGCAACAAATCCTTGGACAAAAAGCAAAGAGGCAAAAGGGTTCTGAATGGGCAGAAGTCATCGGGGAAATCAAAGTCTCCTCGGAAAGCCTTGAAGACCCCTAAGATGAAGATGAAACAAATGACGCTACTGGACATGGCTAAAGGTGCCACTAAGGTGTCCAGGGCTCCCAGGAATTCTGGAGGCACCCCTAGGTCTTCCAGCAAACCCCAGAAACATCTGCCTCCTGCAGCACTCCATCTCATTGCCTATTACAAAGAAAACAAAGACCGGGAAGACAAAAAAAGTGCTCTTTCCTGCATCATCTCCAAAACAGCTCGGTTACTCTCAAATGAGGATCGTGCCCGTCTCCCCGAGGATTTGCGAGGGTTAGTACAGAAACGCTACGAGCTTCTAGAGCACAGGAAGAAATGGGCCACCATGACAGAGGAGCAGCGAAAGGAGTACATGAAGAAGAAAAGGGAGAAGCTGAAAGAGAAACTGAAGGAGAAAGCGAAGGAGCGGAAGGAGAAGGAGATGAAGGAAAAACTGGAAAAACAGAAAAGATACGAGGACCAAGACCTTAAAGGGAAGACCTTGCCTACTTTTAAACTGGTTGATACTCCAGAAGGACTTCCTAATACGCTTTTTGGGGACGTCGCCATGGTGGTGGAGTTCCTGAGCTGTTACTCGGGGTTATTGATGCCAGATGCTCAATATCCCATTACAGCCGTTTCCCTGATGGAAGCGCTTTGTGCAGAGAAGGGGGGCTTCCTTTATTTGAACCGAGTGCTGGTCATTCTCTTGCAGACCCTGCTGCAGGATGAAATTGCTGAAGATTATGCTGAGCTGGGAATGAAGCTCTCTGAAATACCACTTACCCTGCATTCTGCTTCCGAGTTGGTTCGCCTATGCCTCCGCAAGTCAGATGTGCAAGAGGAAAGTGAGGTCTCGGATAACGTAGATGAAAGCAAGGATTCTGCAGCTTTTGAGGATAATGAAGTACAGGATGAGTTTTTGGAGAAACTGGAGACGTCAGAGTTCTTTGAGTTGACGCCTGAAGAGAAACTGCGGATACTTGGAGCGCTGTGCCACCGGATTCTAATGACATACTCGGTGCAGGACCACGTGGAGGCCAAGCAGCAGGCGTCAGCTGAGCTGTGGAAGGAGCGCCTCGCTATCTTGAAGGAAGAGAATGACAAGAAGAGAGCAGAAAAACAGAAGCGAAAAGAAATGGTGGCCAAGAACAGGGAGAACGGGAAAGACGAGAATATGATGGGGAGAAATGAAAAGAAAAAAAACGAGATGATGAAAATAGAGCACCGGGCAGAAATAGAAGCCGATGATATGATCAGTGCTGTGAAGAGCAGGCGCCTTCTTGCCATCCAAGCCAAGAAAGAGAGGGAGCAACAAGAAATACAAATGCGAGGTAAGAAAATACCAGGAGAGCGGAGCGTTTGTGTGTTGTGGAGTAGAGGGGGAGAAGTTAATGGCAAAATTGGCAGCCTGTTTGCAAAAGCATTACCTGGTTTTAACCTCAAACCTCTATAAATCACGAGTTGCACTACCAAACTCTGTATGCCTCTGTGTAAGTAGTGCTTTTTGCTGAGGAGTATGAAATAGGAAGAGCGAAATACTTTGGAATTACACTTCAGGGATTTTTTTTTTGGTTGTAAATGTAGGTACTGAGCAGATGGAAGTGGACAGCATAACTCATCTAGGTGGTTGTTTCCCTTCTGAAGCAGTTGAGGGACAAGTATTCTGCGTGGAGCCTGGCTTATGTGCCTTAGCTGGAATCTGGGAGTCTCTCTTCTAGGAGACCAAGAATAAGTGAATAACGTGGAATACCCTCAGGCTCCTGAGGAAGTACACTGGAGACAACTATGCCTCACATTGAAAGTAAATAGACCTTTCAGATCTTCTGTTAAGAACTGTGAGTCTCAGAAGTATCAATAAACTGCTGGAGTGCTGTCCTACTTCTCCAGAAAAACAAAATGCCAAATATCTGATGTGCTGTAGCTGAATGGCCTTTTGGCCCCGATTCTTGTAGCGTTCCAGTTGTTTGACAGCAAGTTCAAGTTCATGGTAAGATTTTACTGCAAAATTAAATACGGTTTGGACATTGTTCCTTGGGATACTTCTTGTTCTCACTTGATAGTTTGTGCTAGTTATAGAAGAAGAAAAGCAGTACTGCATTGGTGGAGATAAGAATCATTTGTCTTGTGTGCTGGGGAAGTTTAATTCATTCTTTTGGACTCCACAGGGAAAACTAGGTCTCTGTCAGGGAAGGAAGGATTAAGCCTTTCATTAAGGCTTGAATTCATATTGCTTCCTTTCCACATAACAAACCCCAACATTTCAGGGATCCAAGGCTTCTTTTACCTGTTAAGCAGTTGCTACCAGGCATAAAGGTACCCTCAAAGTACTAGAGATCGTGGTTAATGTTGATGGTGCAGTAGTTAGGGCTGCAGGGTTCACAGCTTGGAGCTAATCTGTTTGGGACTTCAGACTTGGGGGCTGGTGTGGTTTCAGTATGTGAAAAAGTAGTTCTGGATAACCACAGTGAGAGCTACATCAGTGTGCTCCTGCTGTCACACAGGCTTTCTGTGGGCTTTTTCAGCATACTGCTTTCACACCACTTCAGTTGCATTTGCTTTTAATAATGTTAGTATCTCTGGGGGATGTAAAAGAGCAGTTGCTGACAAAACATCTGTTGTGCAGTGGTTCAAACACATAGGTATGGTTTGTCAGCAACTACTCTTTTACATGTATATAGAGATATATCTCAGAGTTTCTTTTTCACCACTCTGGTAGCATCTGTAACACTGGGAGCACTAACCTCTTTCAAGTTAAACCTATCAAGATTGCAGCCAGTGCTACCAAGCTAATTTCAGCTCAAAAAAAGAACCCAGTGTAAGGATGCATAAATGTATTATTTTGTTCTTTTTTGACTTTAAAAGTAGTCAATACAGAACTTCCTGTGGAGAGAACGTGATTAATATCTGTATCTTCTTGATAGTAAAGGTCAAGTCACTTCCATTTCCATGTAGCACCGCAGCAGTTACTGATTGTGCTTTGCCTTGTTGCTCCATGAAGCAATAGCTCCTGTACGGTCTGTTGGAGGAGAATGGAGAGCTGGAAGTCTGTACAGCTGATGGAGCCTGCTAGAGAGGAAAATACCGACTGAGACTAGCTTGCCATCACAGTTGAAGATGAGGTGCAGGGAGGGACCCTTTGATTCGGTGTCTTTGTTCTCATTTTGATTGAACACTTTTGGCCTACGTGAGTTTCTGTCCTTTCCTTGCCTCTTCCTTATTCTGGCACTTGATGGTACCTGCTGCAACTGGTCTTTACAACTGGATAGAAAAAAACCAACCCATCCTGTCTCATGAATGCCCACGGTATCGCATTTTGGAAGGGTTGTAGAGTTTGCTGGCGGTATGGCTCGTTTTGATCGGAGTCTTGACGGGAGGGTACTGAGGAGGAGGGCAGTGTACCTTGTGCAAGCATCAGGTGATGGCAGCAAGTCTTGAGAAGGTGAGAAGGAGAGAAATCCTGGGGAAATCCTATCACCTCTGCCTGCTTCTAGTGGAAGGTGAGACTGGTACTTGCTGTAGCATAGGCCTCCCGATGTGGTTTGCGAGATTCAGATTTAGGTGGCACGAGGCATTAGGTACTGTGAGAGTGGCTGTTGCTCCTTGTTCTGAAATCAGTACTTTGCCACAGGGAGAGGTCGTAAGGTTTAGGGAGGAGTTGATATTTACAGAGCTACGGGTTGTGCAGCTGCTTGTGTGTGGCAGGTGTGAATTAACAGGACAACGTTGCCGTGCTGCAGTTACTGTAAGTTGGTATATTATTCGGTAAAAGCTGATATATCGAGTTGGTGTAACAAATGCAAGGGTATGTTTTTCAGCATGTCTCCCCTGATCAGTCAGGATTGATGACATTGGCAGGACTTGAGAGACTTACCAGGTATTTACAAATCAACTGTTACCAAATCTGTCTTGATACAGAAAATGGCTGCGAGAGAAGGAGTAGGCAGTAGCCCTGGGAAAAGTCCTAGCAAGAAGTTGCCTTTCTGCCTGGGACAGCAGCCAGCATACGACCTCTATATGCTCCCTTTGACCTGCCCCACTCCACCTCACCCCTTCCGTATGGTCTCGTTCCATCTGCTTCGAACCCTCTCTTGTGATGCAAAGAGAAGTCTTCATTTCTTCATCCTTTTTATTTCTTTTCCTTAAGTTTTCTCAGGACACAGAAGAATGTTGCCCACGGCCTTTTGTGCAAGTCATGAAGGGGGGATGTTTTTGTTAGACTGAGATCAGGCTCCGAAGAGCCAGTGTGACTCAATTTGACGCTTCATTCCTTTTTGTCCAGGCAGTTCTCGGGCAAGGTACACCTGTTCTTCAGAGACGGGCAAAAGCGTAGAGAGACTCTTGAACCACCACGAGAAGCATAAATCCTGTTGACCTTAATGTTTTATCTCTTGGCAGAAGCTGCCTTGCTTCTCGCTCCTTACACGGAGATGTGAAATGACATATTTTGTTCTGGAAAACTCTTGCCAAGGAGCCTGTGATGCCAGTATTTAGGCCACTTTGTATTTTTCTTTCCCCTGTTTTTTTTTTGTTGACAGCCATGGATATTGAGAGCTACTGAAACTGCCGTACTTCTGTCATGAGTGGGAAACCTGAAGTTTCTATTTTAATGCTCTTGCACTTCAGAGCGTGTATGGGAAAGCCTGAGGTGTTAGGAGATGTGACCTGGTTGCTGTTGTGAGACGGTTGTGCCTGGAAGAGGCCTCTCTTGTGCCAGAGCTGGTTTTTTTCAGTAGGCAAGGTTGTGAGGAGAGCGTTGCCTTGGTGGAAATGCCGGTGTCCGCCAGCCACGCTGACCTCTGGTGGCGCGGCTGGACCCCTCCCACCGCTTGAGCCAGCCAGAGCAAAGTCCTTGTCGTATGTCGTGCTGTAGTTAAAGATCTTTGACCCTGTTGTTATATAGGACTGCACAGCAGTGGATGGCCCTTTGTTGGTCTCGAATGAGAAATAATAGTGAGGACTAATTTCTCCAGACAATTCTTAGCCAGACTTTCCGCTTTCCTCAACCCAATTCATCCTTGACTTCTTAATTCTTGAGTTTTTTCTAGAATGGTGGGTAGAAAGGAAGATGAGGGGTGGGTGGCTGTACTAAAAGAGTATTAACCAAAGTCACCAATAAATTATTTTACTCCTATGGTGTAGTAAAATGAAAGAGAATATTGATATCTGGATGCAATAGAAGAAAGCTAATACTGCTCTGCTAATCCCGACAGTGAGGATGGAGAAAGAAGCAGAGGAAGAAAGAATCCGGAAGCATAAAGCTGCAGCTGAGAAAACTTTCCAGGATGGAATTGCCAAAGCGAAGCTGGTGATGCGCCGGACCCCAGTTGGCACGGATCGTAACCATAACAGGTGGGAAAGGAAGTGATCCTGAGCTGCCAGCTCGTCCCTCTGGGAAGGACTTTGTCAGGCAGCAGCCCCCAAGAGACAATCAGTATGGAGAGTGCTGAGAGGACTCCCTGCGTGTTGAACTGGGGAGGAGAGCAGAAGTGAGGGGGGTTGTGTGGATAGAGTATAATGGCCTTCACTGGTTTACATGGCCAGCTTCTTGGGGCCTTCCTGTGGAGGGCAGGATCCACTAGCCAGTGGAGCTTCAAGTGCTTGCATCAGTGCTCAAGAGCCGAATTCCCATCTCTTTCTTTTTTTTTTCTCCCGAGTTTGTTGCACAAGAATGTTCTTAGAATGGATTCTAATAAAAGCTTTTCGTGTTTTTCAACTAATGTGCTGATATAAAGATACACATGCTTTCAGTTCTTGAGCCAAGCGCTTCTCCCCTCTATGCAAATAAAGGCAGATGTGTGTAACTAGCCAGAAGAGGAGACAGCTCCCTGTCAACGTGTATGTTTCCTACAGGTATTGGCTGTTTTCGGATGAAGTTCCTGGCTTGTTCATTGAGAAAGGCTGGGTACATGACAGTATAGACTACAGATTCATCCTTCCCCATCAGAAAAAAGAAGATTTTAAGAAGGACTACAGCCCAGGAGGTACGATCACCCTGCTTCTCTGTGGGTATTTCCTTTGTTGCTGTCTGATTATTAGAACGGATTTGTGAATGTGAGAGAGAACTGTCTAGTCTGAGTGTTTTCATGGGGATACTCTGATGTAAGCCTTTAAACTCGAGAAGCCTGTAGACAGGAGAGTCTGATGCTCCTGCTGATCTCCCTCCTGCTGCTGCAGGTCTTGAGACTGCCGACAGTGTAGTACGTAAGGACCCGTGGGTACAATCACTTCTCTTAAAGTCGATGAGGTGGATGTCAATCGTACACTAGTCCCTCTGGTTTACTCTGAACCTGCCGAGTTGCGGTGTGCCAGACTTCTTGGGCAAGTAGCCAGTTGTGTGCTGCAGAGGGTGAGGGTATCCACCACAGTGCTAACGTTCCGTCGGTGGCAAGACTCCCAGATTGACCTGTGAAATGGTATCCAGCAGGACAGCCTTCTGGCTACCTGTAGCTTTGCTGATTGAGGCCACTTTGACAAACAGCCCTCTTGCACGTGTCCTCTCACCTTGCTCTTCACCTTGTGCAGGTGAGGTGCAACGACAAGCTGAAGTTGTAGGGCTCCCTCTGTATTTTTGCCTGGCTGCCTTGGAGCCTGGGTGGTGGAGGAGCCTTGCAGGCAGAACCTGGACATGCACAAAAATCAGCCTCTGGGGAGGGAAACTTAACGCTTCTCTGTGGAAATAGTTCTTGGTACAGCAAAGCATGCTATAATCTGACTCCAGTTGCATTTTCAGTCGTGATCACTTCTTGCTTTTGAAGCATCACAGGCTGGCATCGGGTCTGTCTGCAGCAATACTGCAGGTGAGAGGCCGTATTGAGTTCAGTCTGAGAGCCCTCACCTGGTGGTAGGTTGTCTTAGGCAACGGGCAGAGTAGACATCTGTAGAAGAATGGAACAGGGCAAACCTACAATGAGATACTTCACCTAGCATGTCACTTCCCAGCCTCTTTGGTGACTTGTTGAGGTGGTATCATTCAGTGGCCCTTGATGGGTTTATTTTCTATGTGAACTTCTTCAAATATTGACTGGCCAAGTGCCTACCAGCTTGCTTCCAGCTGCATGAATTGCTCAGCAGCTGCCTGTGGGTATTTACCCAGCTAGTGTGCAAAATTTCAGCACGTTTCTTCTGAAACTTAACAAGCAAAGGCTTAAATAAGCAAAGGTTTAAATTCATGTCGGACTTGTCTAAGATGCTGAGAAATACAAACACATACTGTTTAGATCTCGTTCAGTTCTAGTACTTTGTCAGTATATAGCTAAAAGGTGAAACTAGTTTTACGTGTTTGAAATAGTAGGAATATCTTTCTTAATTTGAGCTATGTGCTTTATGATGCAGTAATTTCTTTAAAAATGACTTCTCTTTCTTTGTATTTCTATAAATGCATATACTGTGAGGTCCAGCAAACTAATGCTGGATTAGTTTTCCCTGACAAATGTACTGCTGGCCTAGATGCTGAATATGAACGCTTACCTGGGGGATAGGTTCGTTTTTACAAAATAAAAATGCTCCCTGAGGAGGAAGATGAGTGAGAAAACCCTTGACCTTGTGCTTTTGTGTTCCAGACAAGCGGAAGA